GGGCACCCGGGTGGGAGGACCGACGCTCCGGCGGCTGGAGTGGTGCGGCGGCCGCTGCGGTGAAGGGCGCGCGGAGGGGGAACTCGGTCGGAAAAGCGTGGGAATGCCAGAGATCCGAGGTTGGACCCTCCTCCCCGTGAGCTGAAAGGGAGAAGTGGGGGGCGACCCGGAAGGATCTGGAGGGAAGGCAAGCTGTCTGGAAACCACTAGGACAGGGCAGTCATTCCAAAGGACCTAGCGTATAAAAGAACGGGATGTGGGCACAGACCGGGAAGACCTAAGGAAGGCGAAGTGCAGGTAAAGAGATAATGAAAGCGAAGGGCTTGGGTGCAGGATTTCATGGCAGTTTTTATATAGGAGAGGATCATCATGGGAAAGGCTGATACTAAAACTACCATCTTCCTCCATCAAACCAACTTACCAGGTTCTCTTCTTGACTTCACCGTGAGCACTGAGCTCGAAGTAAAACTATTTTCCTCTTCCCAGGATAGGAACTGCGAACTATTGGTCTCGGTACTTTACACTGTGAAGAATTATTGAGGACCCCAGAGAGTTTTTAATGTGGGTTCGATGTATTACACACATATATTTACCCTATTAAAAATTAAAACTAAGAAACGTTAAAAATTTTATTTTAAAAGAATAGCCTGTTACATGTTAACAGAAATTACATGTTTTTGTGGAAAAACAAACTTTTCCAAAACAAAAAAAAATTAGAAAAGTGGCATTGTTTTACATTTTGAAGATCTCCTCTATGTCTTGTCTTTATTGCAGAGAACTGACCTCTTTTAGGTGCTTCTGCATTCGGTCTGTTGCACTATCCCAGATCATGTAACACTGGTTACTCCACAATGTACACTTACTCAGAGAGTGAATGAAAACGCTAAATAACATCTCAGTGTTACTGTGAAAAATCATTTTGACCTTGCAGATCCCGTGACAGGGTCTCAGGAACTGCACTAGGGGTGCCCAGACCACACTTAGAACCATTCCTTTATACCGTTGTTAGGTCTGCCTGGGAATCCCTTAGAAGTTTTTTTTTTTTAACTTCTCATATGACTAAACTTTGCCTTGGACTATAATTATTTGTACACTTTCTTATAAACTCCTTGAGAAGAGGAGGCATCAATTAATAAGATTCTGTGTGTTATGCATAGAACCTATCTTAGACACTATAAATACTTTTGAGAGGGGAGCCATTCATTCACAATTATGTTTATTGAGTGCCTATTATGAGTGGGAAGTTCCAGAAGATAAAAAGATGACAAATATTTAGTTCCTATTCACAAGGACCTCTCTAGTAATGGATTGTTTGTTATTCTGGGACATTTACAGATAACATGTTAAATGCCGTGTTGGGTGTGAATAATAATAACAATGGGTTGTTACCATTTATTGAGCACTTAGTATATACCGATGCACTAAATATTTACATGCATTATCTACTTTAGCCCTCACAACAACCTCGAGTTTCAGAGTTTGGGGTTAAACCAGGGTCATTATGATTTAAGGTTCTTTGGCCACAGAGAGGAGTAATGATGTGAGGTTGGGATTAAGAAGTGGTAAACTTGCAAAATTGAGCAGACAGATGGCACAATTTTCTGTTCCAGGAAAAAACGTGTTTCTCTTAGGGAGAGGGGGCTGTGCAAAGAAAATCCAAAATACTATTACACTAGGTCTGTAGATTTCTGAATTTCTAGACTTAATAGTGTAAAAAGTTGTCTTCTTTGGGATCAGATCATTAGATCTGTGATTGGTTAGTTTGTGATTAGTACGCTAGTTAGGGAAGGCTCTGGACTTTCCTGAGGAGGGCCTGGGAGTGAGGGCTCCTAATTTGACAGTGGAGGAAAGAGAAGAAAGGAAGGCCCTGCCACTGAAGAAGCATGGCTGAAGTAGTGGATACCTGACATCAGGTGTTCTGTGTTCCTCCCCAAGCCTTCAGTCAGGTTTTGCGGAGGCTACAGAATGGTTCGTTTGGCAAACTAACAGAAAAATCTGAGGCCACATCTCTGGGGAAGGTAGTATAGAGAGAAGGCCAGTCGCCTCGCGGGCAACAAAGGGCATGCATTCATGGAATCTGGCAAATTCCAGGGTGGGAAGTCTGAAGAGAAATAGATGGGATTTCACCAGTCTTCCAGGATGGTGAAGATTAGCTCAGAATAGGTGAGTGGCGGTGGGAGTGGGGGCACCCCTGCAGGTTAGAAAATTGGGGAATATTAAAGTCATATACCTACTGAAATCGGAATTAAACTGGCATAACAAAAGGTTAGCACTGGGAGCTTAGGGGCTGGAGAGTGACATCTGAGTGGGGGCAAGGTAAGCTGGTGATGCTTACTCTCTGTAAGACAAAAAAGCTATTTCAGAGTAATTTCATACTGGTGCTAGAAGAGCATCTAGGATAGCAGAAAGTCCCAGAGGTATTTTTCTCTAGTGTCAGACCGAGAAGCTGAAGTGGGAGGGTCCAAGTGGACAACAGTTCCCATGAGGTGGTGGACTTTTTTCCCTAAAATCTTCCAAGGTTGCCTATTGTTTCTTACACTTTTTTCTGACTCTATACATGTTTCCTCAAATAGATGAGAATTTGATGAAGAAACCCCAAGAGTCCATCCTGAACTGTCCATCAGGGATTAGGAGTAATTGTAAATGTCTTCATACGATTATGGGTGACTCAGAATCAGTCCTGGCTTCCAGTTTAGTTCCCCACAACCTTGCGCACACGGGAGTGCCCTAAATACAAACTCAGCCCTGATGCCATTCCAGACCGCCCTGATATTGAACAGCCTTTGCTGTCAATGCAGACAGATGCAGGTTCTGAGGGTCTTGCCCACCACACCCTGAAGGTGACAGAGCTTTCAGGAGGCCCTAACACTGCCTGGACTCCATAGGAAGGGGGCTTTGGGACTCGGACCAAGGAGAGCCATCACTGCGTACCTGCTGTACAGAACGTGCTCTGTAGCTGCAGACTTCTGCCCTCCTGCAGTTTATGATAAGAATGAGAACGTGTACAAAGCTGAAACAAAGGATCTCCTCCTGCCTCTGTCTCTCCAGTCTGTCTCTTCGGTGTCTGAAATTTGGAGTGCTGTAGGATCCAGGCTTTGTGTCTATCTACGTGTCTTCACCCAGTCCCCTTCTCGGTGTATCCTTAAGTCTCAGGACTATACATACTTAGGTAGATTCCTCTTAGTTTGTATCCTCAGTCCGTATCTTTGCTTTGAACCCCCTGGATCCGTTCCTGTAGATGCCAATTTGCCATCTCCTCATGAATGACTAAGATATCTTGAGCGTAGCATGTCCAGAATTTAGCGTGTCTTCCCCCACAGACCTGTTTTTCATTCAGTTTTCTTTATCTCAGGAAATGGCAACTGCACCCCTCCGATTGCTCAGGCCCCAAACTTCAAAATTATTCCTGACTCCACTTTTATACACCGCGTCCGTTTTATCAGCGATCCGCATCTGCTGTGCCTTCAGTGTGCATCCAGAATCCCACCTCCGCTGCCCCAGCCCTGGGCCAGCCACTGCCCTCTCTCACCTGGATCATTCCAGTAGCCGCCTAACTTCTCCTCCCGCTTTGCCTCTGCCCCCAAGCTATTCTCAGCAGAGCAGTGAGAATTTATACTCTTTTGAAACGTCCAGTCAGGTCTTACCTTTCCTCCGCTCAAAACCCTTTAATTGCTTTTCTGTTTCAGGATAAAAACACTAGTTAGCCACCAGTCATCTCTTGGACCCCATTATCTTCCTCCCTTTCTGTGCTTTCTGCACATTTGCTCTCTTGCTTTTGGCTTGAACACAGGAGGGTCTTTGTACTTGCTCTTTCCTCAGTCTGAGATAGTCTTCACAGGTGAACTGTATGACTTTACCTCTTGAAGTGTTTACTTACAAGTCACCTCCTTCAGTGAGGTCTTCTCTGATCACATTATTTAAAATTACCCCATACATCTGCTCCAGCATTACTTAGCCCCCTGCTTTGCTTTTCTCCAGAGCACTTACGACCATTGGATGGATACACACACACACACACACACACACACCCCTCTGTTTGTCTGCCTCTGCGTGCATATGTATATTTATATCTTGTAGAAAAACCCAGGATGATAGGGAATTTTGTTTGCTGCAGTATCCTAAATACCTAGGAAAGATAGTTGGCCTATTTTAGATGATTAACAAGTAGTTGCTGAATTAATGAATAGAGATTTCAAAGAGTAAATGTTCCAAGAGAAGCAAAAGAACCTAAAAGCAGTGCCATGGTTTGTACCCTAAGTGATGTATGATGTGTTCTATTTGATTATATATTTTTTGAAGTGATTATATATATGTATGAAGTGAAGAGAAATACAAATATATTTTCTTAAAAGCAAAGCCCATTTTTTTCGGTAATAGTCTTTTAACTTAAATGAGAAATTCCAAATTAGGCCTGGTAGAAACCACTTCAAAGCACAGTCTTACAGGAATGTAACTAAAAAAGGAAAGAAAGAGGCTGGGTATTGAGAAGCATCATCTGAGCTGAAAGCCAGTGCCCGGGCGGAAAATCAGTAAAAAAGGAAAGGAGATACAGAATCATGTTTTTCTCCTGTGCCTGTTGTATTGGAAAATTTTGTCTACTTCATCTCGACCTCTTTCTTCATTTGAAGAAAGAAGTCAAATTGTTTTTCGCTTTTTTCTATATCAGTATAAGCATCAAAGCATCACTTGGTTGCATTTGGTGAGATGGCTTCTGAATTTTATGTACCAGAGTCTGACCACCTTTCTAAATCATAAAAAAAAAAATTATATTTAGCATACAACATCCTTGTTTTTATAGATCTCATATTCTAATTATCTAAAAGAATGGTAATCCTTCTATTGTCTCTAATACTGGTTTCTTGACCTGGGTGTTACAGGGACTAACGGAAGAAAATTTTACAGAGTAGAGGAGTGGCGGGCCTCTGCAGCTTTCATTCTTGCTGTCTTCATAGTCACCATTATCTCAGAGGAGAAAGGACGCTTTAACACTAAGAAATAGGAAAGACCGGGGCGCCTGGGTGGCTCAGTCGTTAAGCGTCTGCCTTCGGCTCAGGTCATGATCTCAGAGTCCTGGGATCGAGCCCCGCATTGGGCTCCTCGCTCTGCGGGAGG